TTAATTCGAAAGCCTTTTGGTAAGAGTTGCCATGGGTTTTCTTTTGTTTTTCGTCATATAATTTTTATAATAATTTTTTTTTAAATTATTTTTTAATTTTTGCAATTTTCTTGCTGTCAAACTGTCAACTGTCACATGCGATGATGACGGTGATGAGGAAGCACACTAAAGCTTATGACATTTATTCATTAAATTCAGTCTTAGCGTTAAAAACCCTCATATTCAGCAAGAGTTGATACTTAATAAAATAAAAGATAAAAATTTGTATAAAATTAATTAAAAAAATAAATAATTATTTTTTACATATTTGTGTTGACTATAATTAATTAAATTTTACTTTTCTTTTTTTTTTATTTGAAGAAAAATATTTAATTAAAAATATTGTCATTTTTTAATAACTGGCAGTTTCTGCGTGAATTCTTACTCACTGTTTATATTATTACTTTTTAATTATATTGTAAAAATAGTTTTGATATACAAACAGAATAGTATTGAAATTTAGCAATTAAAAATAATAAAAAATTTAATTAATTAATTCAATTATTCTACAGCTGGTTTATGATTACCTTCTAATATAATTATTATTAATATTATTATAAATTAATAAGAGATTAGAAAAATGTACAAACATAAAAGTCAAGCACGGCTTTGGGTCAATTGGTTAAGGTGCACTGACTCTGAGCTTCAAATTTGGCAGGGCAGGAGTTCGATTCCTGGTATTTGCAGTTTTAAAAAAATTATTTACGAACAATTACAAGACTTATACAAGAATTTTTTCCCAGACTATTAATGATGGGTACATGGCAATACTCGAAACAGCTGTGTGGTTAGCTAAACATTCAATTTATTAAAAAAATATAAAAGAATTTTTGTTGTTGTAGTTCACTACTTTTAGAAAAAAATTTTATATTTTATTTTATAAAATGTATCAAATATATTTTATATTTTAGTTTAATAAATATATATTTAACATATTAAAATTATCAATTATATATTACTATATATATAATATATATACATATCTATTTAATTTAATATATTTTGGATATTGTATGTTTTTAGTTCAATTTTTAAATATAATATTAAGATTTTATAAAATTAATCAAGAAAATAAATGATTTTTTTGTACTTTGTTGTGTTAACTATAATTAATTAAATTTTGTTAAATATTTTAATGCAGAAAATATTATCAGTTTCTGTTAGAATTCTTACTCTTGACTTATATTATTTTGGGCCAATATTTTCTAATTATATTTTAAAAACTTGCTTAATTATATGAATTTAAATTTCACAAAATATTTTTCTATATTCGATTGTTTTTACTATAATTCAATTTATTATATTCCTAAATTGTTGTTAAAAACTTTTTGTTTTAATTATTTAATAAATAATTAAAACGTAAAACAAAAATTTGAAACATAAAAAAAATTATTTAAAATCTTCAAGAAAAACAATATATTGAAATGCATAGGTAAAAAATTAATGTTATAAGAACTATTATAAGAAAGAACAAAACTATTATAAGATACGACCATAAAGGTCGTAAGGGACTGGAAGAACTCAATTACAAACATCCCTTCGTATGTCAGTTAGATTTCTTCTTTAACTATATGTTAATACTGATATTCTTATATATATCCATATAACAATTTGTATTAAACTCCATATGAGACCTAATTTATTATTTTAAAACATTATCTTTATTTATATTTTCCCTTCATATATGTGAGCAATCTTTGAGATACAAATGAAAATTGGAATTCAAATATTTCAAACTTAATTGTCTAAGTAAATCATTTGAATTAGCATAAACATTTATCTCTGGCCAACAGATTTAAAACAATTTCGAACAAAACAAATACCAATTTAAATTATTCATTTGCATATGAAAACACCCTCAGCGCGATTAATGAAACATCAGATAAATCGTTTTGAAACGCGCTCGGATTATTCAAAATGACATTCAAATTGCATGTTCGACAATACGAGAACGAACTGCTCGAAGGATGAACTTTAATAAACTGTGTAAAAAATTGCTCAGAGTCAAACAAAAAAAGGATGTGCAATTGCGATGAAAAATTGCTAAAACGGAAATTCAAATAAAAGTTGGTTTGCAACACAAAAGGTGAAAAATTGTAAAATGGAATCGAAAATATTGCGGAGGAAAAAATTTTGATTACGTGCTTTATTGCAGAGATTGGAAAAAGATTATTGGAATATATCAAAAAAAATCATTGCAAAAAACAAATTCAATAAAAATGCATAATAATAATGCAATTCAAAGATAAAATCTATAAGTGTGACTGCATGAAATCGAAAATTTGAGAAGGACGAAGCCAACATATGCGACAATAAATCCGTACTTTAAGAGCTTAGATGCAATAATAAATTTATTGATGCATTTCCTATAATGAAGGTGAAAGTTCCACATAAATTTCAATTTTTTCAAGTTTTTCTTTTAAATAGAATATTCGTATGATAAAAAATACAATATGAAATGCATAAAGATATTTGACTTCTACTTCAATAATTGCAGAATCAGCGTTATCTTTTAAATCTAAAGTACAAAGATTTAGAATAGAGATTGGATTGCTAAAGACTAAGTTACTGTCCCGGAGACTATCATTCTTAGATAGCCATTCCGAAGACTTGTGTTGGACTAATCTGTCAGGTTGGCACCAACAATGTGAGGGTAGTATGTCTTGTCCGTGAAAGCGCCTTGACATACAGTATTACTCATATCACACAAAAAAACTGTATAATATATTAAAAATCATTCATTTATTAAAAAAAAACATTTATCAAATTTCTTCATTATATTTTAAGGCTTGTTTTTTTTAACAATTAAACTTAAATTAGTAATGAAGAAACAACAACAAAAATTTTAATTAATTTATTGAAATTTGGCTGACCATACAGCACGGTTTCGATTATTTCCAATACTCATCATCAGCGATTTTTAGAAATTATTAGAATATTTATTTAATTAGTTTATTGTCCGTACATAATTTGTTGGACTGCAAGTACTATGCAGTCATGAGATGCGACATATTCGACTTTAAAAATTAATATTTAAAATAAAATTTGTTAATCTAAACTGGATCACATACTTTTGGCTAAAAAAGTATAGACTAGCAATAGTTCCTTGCTGAACAGTATTAAAGTCTGTGTTTCGCAAAAAAGGTATTAAACACGGTTTGCGATTTAAGATTCATATTTCGGTCCTTCATGGAGTTTTTTCAAACTTAAAAGTACTGAATGGATGGAAAAAGTAGCTCAGACTGATTGGGATAATATAATTGCCTGCAGACAAGTTAAAGAATTCATGCCAAATCGACCAAAAATAAGAACTAGGAAGGTGCTAATGCTGAAAAAACATCCGACTTGTCACAGGATTTCTCACTGGAGATTACGGAGTCCAAAAACATCTATCGAATCTATCGAATATAGAAGCGACAATAGCTACAGATTTGGTCACAATGAAGAGGAAACAGCAGAAAACATTCTATGTCACTGTGATAGTCTCACCAGACTCAAACTTTGGTACTTATCAACTGCTTACCCATTTATTACGGAATTAGGCAACATTTCTCCAATGGACATAATAACAATTTGCACTGCTACGTTCTTATGGTAAACAAACTAAAGTGGGTTTGTCATAATATTCCTCAAAGAATGCAGTGACTCGGCCACATAATTCCCAACCGTTTCAAAATCTAATCTACTCTAATGGAGGATTTGCATTTGACATGCTACCCATTCAAGAAGTGCTGTCTTAATGATTCTACTATTATTTCTTCACATGCATCTATGAACTTGAACAGGATCTAAGATTTATCTAAAGCATTTTACCATTTGTAAATGGTACACTCTGATATCTATACATGCTATAAGTGTCTTCCGTAGAAGTGGGGGCAGTGCTACATATAATTAACACCATTATAAGACACGTCAACGATTGAAAATTAAATAAAAGAGTTCACTAACCAGTTGGAGGTAATAATCTAATATAGAAAATAAAAGAATATTTAATTCATTTAATTTATTTCACAACCAATATTGACTAAAGTCTTCAGTTATGAAGTATAGTACCTCACAGATTTCATAAAGAAATTAATCAAAACCTCTGCGAATATTCCTTAATGCTGATAGGTTTATCTTATATATATAATTCTTCTGTACGTGTGTTGACAGTGAACTCCTCCTAAACGGCTGAACCGATTTTGATGAAATTTTTTGTGTGTGTTCAAGTGGATTCAAGGAAGGTTTAGATTCACAATTTGGCCCACTGGATAATGTCTTTTCAATCAATTTTTTATTTTTTGCTATCCATATACATTTATATTAAAAATTTAAAATTTATTCATGCTTACTTTGATTTGTTTAAAAACTTTAAAATCTCTAAAATGAATTGTAAAACTGCCCTTACATAGCTTAAGTGCATTTAAATTCCGCAGCATAATTATAGGTGAGCCAATTTTTAATCTTAAGTTATGTGGTGGTATTCCTGGTAAATCCAGCGAAATTCAAAAATTCAACACACAAAAAAGAAGAATTATATATATAAAGATATAAATATCGTACAAAAAACAATGCCACGTCTTCGTGGACGAGGAGGAAATATTGGTCGACGGACTCGGAATTCACAATTACTCCAGAACCGTCGGTTAAATAGATCGGCAGAAAACAATGAAGATGTAAGAAACCAGGATACAATTACACGTGCTAATGAAAGTCAAGAGCAAGGCAACGAACGCCAGCAAAATTAATTGCAAGGGGAAACAACGTTCGCCGGGTCAGCTAGTATTTTATAAAACTATCTACAAGGATGTAATGATTGGTTTGTATGAATGAAATTTAAATATTTTCAAAACTAAGTAATCTCTGATTCTTTTTTATATATATAAAATATTATCTTTAAAATAATAAACTCATAAAAAAAAATTGACAATATATGTTAGTAAAAAATATATCATTAGTGTAACTACATAAATATTTGGCCCAATTACAAAATTTCCGTTATTTATATATATACATACCTATATATATATTTTGTCAACTTAATTTATTTAAAGATGTCTCATTCAATCGCTGGTGTAAGTTTGTTTTTATTAACTAAGATAGTAACTATAACTAAACTTATAATTTAATTAACTAAACACAATTTACCACAGGAGAATATTCAGTTATATAGACCAAATGAAGACAACTTTGACGTCGACAACTTTTTGAGGGTTCTACAAAATCGAAGACCGGTAAGTCACTTATGAGATACAATTTCATTAATAAAAAAATAATTTCTTCCCAGGACTTAGTAGCCCATATAAATGCGTTGAATAATATAAGAGTAACGCAAGGGGAGTTATGGGAAAATGAGAATAGAGCAAATCTCATAAACAACGTGTTCTTACCTATTCCGCATAGACGAAACCCTAACAAACTAAGACAACGCATTCAAGCGATTCAAAATTTTGTACAAAAAGTGGTTAAAAAAACTAATTTTAAATACATTGCGGTTATAGGAAGTACTATTGGAATTTTGATGTTTACTGCATACAGAAACAAAACCCCACAAATTAGACATTAGTGGCTTGTATCTGCAATTGCAATTTTTTAAAAGATTTTTTAATCTGTTGTGTAAGTCAAGGAAGTTTTGATACATCTTGAAATTTAATGCAAAAATTTTTTTTTATTCTACAATTTTTAGCTATTAAACTTTGTGTTGAAAAGAAGCAGCAAAAAAACATTTCTGATATAGATAAAGACAGATATAGTATACACAGTATTCTATACTAGATGTAGAAGCATTTTTTATCGCACCTGCTACATGATATGACGGGACCTGATTTTTCAAGACGATGACAATATCGGATATGGGAATACAAAAAATTTAATTCTATCAATTTTAAAAGTTGACAAATCAACAAAAATGGAACATTTAAACAAGTCTTTACATACTCAATTGATGAAATGAAATGAAAGATCTGTAAACCACTCAAAACGCTCTCGAAGCATGTAACGGCTGTGAAATTTCTTTCACTCTTACTCTAAACGATATTTTATACTAACTTTCGGTTTATTGAGGCACAAACTAATTGGATTCGTTAAGTCATTATATTCTATAATCACAGAAATATATTTAATTTTATTAATATAATATAGTTATTTAGATGTTGTGGTTCGGAGTAGGCTTAAATAGCAGATCTTCTAAGCAATGATAGAGATGTTTGAACTATTTATTTTTTTGCCTTGTAATTGAATGAAAGCTACATTTTGGGCCAAGTTTTATGTAATTTATGTCTAATGTTTATAAATACAATTTAAAAACAAATAAAATAATCAATAGTTATTTTATGGATTAATAAAACTTTTGCATTTCATTGCCTTTGAAAGACAGCTTTGGACTCTGCAAGCTGAAAATATTTTTTTATTCAAAATATAATCATCTAATATAATTATTTAAACTTAATTAAATTTAATTAATTAAATGTTTTTTAATTGAAAGTGCTTTTTATTTAAAATATAGTCATCGGCGTCATTTAAACTTAATTATATTTAATTAATTATTAACGAATTTTAATATACGAGTATAATCTTAATTTTTTCTAAAAACCAACATTATGAATAATCTATTAGCAACCGATGTAAACATACCACTAGTTCTGGTATTTAAACTAATGCTATGATTGAATCAAACTTGTATAAAACTGCGAAATCGGGACTATGTCTGGAATAAAGCGATGAAGAATGATTTTTTCATATCTAGTCAACATCATTTGAACGTCTTTTGTTTTTAACGAAACTGTGCTATATATAATATTCACACAGAAATCTACGCATTATTATAGCAGTTATTTAATGGCTATATTGTCTATATTGAAATGAGGTTTCTGAAACCTGTAATCTACAATTTTTTTTAAATTTTTTGTGCATGTATTTACAGTTAATGTACTAAGCGTAAAAGTTAATCACAACAAACTTAAAAACAATCACAGCATTAAAAACATATACACAGCATTAAGTGTTGGAAAAAGTTACAAAAAAATTTAAATCTCTAACTGTTTCCGTTACAGTTAATTGACTAAAAATATTTTTTGGCACGAATTTCATTAAACTTTATTTCAAATAATAGATATTTGACACTTTTATCAAACTATATTTTTTTTTTCAATTTAAAATCCAATAGCTCTTAAAAAAATCCTCTATATTTCCAATAAAACCAATTTTAGATATACATTTTTTATTTTATTTAAGTTTCCTGACAAGTACTATGAATACAAATTAAATATAAATTAAAACCGAAATAAGATTAAATAAATAAAATTTTAAATAACACGTTATTTGTTTCCAATATTTTAAATTAATTCTCAATACTGATCAATTAGAAGTTCTATAAGTAATATTTTCTTCATAAAAAAATTATAGACGTATATATATTTAAATACATAAATTTATTAAACCGAATTTCGTCCAATATTTTATTGAATCTTAAAGGAATCATTTAACAGAAACATATTTCCCACTAGTTTACATTAGTTAAATAAATTTATTATTTATTAAACATATAATTATTTAGCAAAAATATAAAATTATTTATTTAAGTTGTTTATATATAAATTACAATTAATAAACACATTGGCGATGACTTATCAAAATTGTGTATCTTAACAAAAAAAAAATGGATTATATATACAATATAATTTTTAAATGCTTCGGATAATATTTGGTTTTAATGGTTCGGTCCATATTTTACCATATTTTATAGAATAAAAAAATTTATAACAGCAAAAAATAATAATTACTTTAATGACTTGCTTCTAAAGTACACAATATAAAAATGAAATATAATAAAATAATAAATATTAAGATTAAACAATAAATATTTTTCTTTACAGAGTTAAAAAAACAATATTATTTTACAGTAAATAAATTCTAAAAGCTTGGTGTAGCTTCCCTCATATAAGTCGAACTTTCATATTGCGCTTTCATGCCGAAAACTCTGCGGAAATAATTACTCCACATCTGCCTTGTGACAGGATCAAGTACTATGAAATAAATGAATAGCACGAAGCCTTGTATAGTTGCAGTTAAGCAAAATAGATATGAAAACAAAATGCCCGCCTTCATGGCTGTCAGCAGTCCAAAAATCCAAGTGAAACCCAACAAGAAGAACAATAACACTGACAATCGCAGTTGCGATATAGCTAATTTTTTATCGGTATGCCGTATTGAGCCCTCAGGTCCCCTTATGATATTATAAATGATAATAATAAAAATAATTAAATTTGATATTATAATAACAGTTACTGGTAGCACCACACCCAAATACAGTGAGTAGCCCGTTGGGTAGCAGACCACAGCATGTCCGGAATTCTCATTTGGTAAATAGGACTTACGATCCACCAGCAAAACAATTAACACTGGTATTAATGGCACACCCCAAGCCAGTATGGCTGATTTAATAAAAAATCGCTTTGGTCTCGTATTTCCAAAAACTTGCACGTAACGTTTAAATTGCAAATAAGCAATTATGACCATCCAACAAAATTGCACCAACACAGAATAATGTAAAAATGCGCCGATGGCAATGCAACTGGAAAAAATTTGATTCTCCAATAATTGGCTCGTTTTCTCCTCTGTGTTGATGAAACAGAAAAGTATCATTTGCAAAGCAATTGCAGCGCACAATTGCAATAGCACTTTGGATGAAGCCTTTTGTCGCCATGATTGAAACGTGCCAGCTGTGATTGCTATACCCAAAATTCCAAATAATGACAACGAACAGCCAAGTATGCTGATTATGTCCAGTGCTTCCTCATGTGGGGTATTTTCAATAACAACCTTCGACTCATCAGCGAAATGATAGCCACCGCCTATTAAGTAAGCAAATGGGGTCAAATGTGTAGTTGCACATAGGATTATATTATTGTTCAGTTTAGAATGGCCCAAAAATGAGATGCCATCATTTGCCCATGTTTTGTAATTCCAATAATTACAATAACGTTCCGCGCTGCTTTCATTTAAATTTGTATCCACTTTTAAGTATAAAGGTAGCATAGCAGGTAAATCTTTGTCGTGTCCTGGTATCGAAATGGAAATTATTTTACCAAACACTTTTCTGTTATCACTCTTAACTGTTTCTTCGTCTTCCTGAAATAATATAGAGTTTGCATAAAGCTTAATGACAATTCGCGGCTCTGGTCGTCTTGTTGTAGTATTATTGGAAAATGTTGAAATTTCATCCAAACGCGTCAACAGTAACTCTGGTACGTATGTGGCCATTTGCAGATCTGGAGCATAAAGTAATTCATCAACATTCTGATCTGCCAATATAAAATTGTAATACTCATTTCTAAAGGCACCACGCATTCTAAACTCCAATACATCATAGTCAGCTTCAACGTTGTCTTCCAAAATGTTAAATAATGCTATTCCTGTTACATTTGCTATCTTAGGATCAATAACAAAAAACACAAAGTTAGTAGCCATTTTGACCACAACACCCACATCTTCGTATTCAATGGTTTCAACAAATTTATCATTGTCCTCTATAAGTCTATTCTGAAACATTTCTTCAAACTTATTCATAACAGTTGGAGATATATCCTGATTTCCTATGGTAGACGCATCTGTAAGATTGTATAAATCGAGACCGTTATTATCTTCAGCCAAAGACAGGTGATCTAACAAATGTTCAAAAGAGTCTAGTAATATATTTGTCGAATTCAAAACTATTGACGGTTTTATGACGCTCTCTTTGACTTCCATAAGGTAATTATAGATTTGCACTATGTCGCTAGTAGTTTTATTTATATGTTTGACACCGTGAGTTACATTAGATGTAGTATTGTTGCTAAATATACTTTTAACTGTGCCTTGCATAATTTTTGCCATGTAATAAAAATCGGCTGGTATAAGATTGTCTATATTTCGTTCGAGTAATATCTTTACGTTCTCTACTGCCTTCACGGGCGTCTTCTTGGGTACTTTCTTCGCAACTAATTGATAAAGATTTTGTGTTATGGTATCTTTCTGGTCGATACATAATAAGTTTTTCTGAGCAGCATCTTCCCACGTGGCGCCATACAAGAAATTACCTTGGCATTTTCGTGTGACCGGCAAACCATTTTGTTGTAGACACAGCTGTTGTGTGGTAACAGTTTGATCCAGTTGCGCAAGAAGCCATTGGTTTTCTGCGGAATTGTTCATACGAAATGTTTCCGGAAAGCAATACTCAGTACTTTTTACAGTGCCTGCAATTTTCACACCTCTGTGTTCCACTAGTGTACGTAATAATTCATATAGCTCCATGCGTATTAACGTATCATGGCGTATGCCACCCTTTTCCTTGCTATCGTCCTCTTCACTGCTGACCTCGTAGCTGTTATCAACTCCCGATGACTTTTTGGACACGGTGACGTGACATAAACACTTTATAGTGCCGGTGATATTGTTTCTATTATCAGTAATGTTTCTGCTATTGCGATTTCTATTTTGATCACTATTATTATTATTATCATTATTAACATTTTCTCTATTATTATTGTTGATTTCACTATTATTGTTGTTTTTACTATTATTGCTATGCTCATTATCATTATTTTCATTATTGAATTCCAAATTGTCGTTTGTTTTATTTATATTATTTGTGTTGCTATCACTGAGAATAATTTCGTAAATTTTCATTATACGTACATTGTTTATATCTAGATTATCATATTTTTGTTTAAATTCCTTTTTGTTCTTCAAATTCTCTAGTTCTGCTTTTATTTTTCCACTTAACACCTTCATATGCTTGTGCAAGTCTTGTAGTTCTCTATCTCCAGCTTCTATAATGTAGTCCATTGCAAAAGTATGTCCTCTACGTTCATCTGTCGCGACAACCCTTGGCGTCGAGACCAATGCAAAATCGAAAATCGTATGTGCTTCACACCAATAATAGCCCGGACCATCTCCATCTAACTTAACTTCAAACATACTTTTCGTTTCACACTCATTCTGCCAGAGCAGTTTTATTTTCACAGTTTTCACAATTTCATTGTCGGCATTTGTAAAACACTTAATTCCATAATTATCTTTATCTTTATCAGTCAGTCGCCAAACATAATTTCGATTGTATACAGTCAAAATAAGTTTATCCAACTCGCCATCCATTTTTAAAGTCATTTCTACGTTTTTCTTATTTCTGAGAACTTCTTTACTTAGTGCTGCAATTTTTTTATTGTTCCTAATACTGTGAGGCTTCACAAGTCTAACTTCCTCCTTTAAATTCATTATGATGACATATTCCCTCGCCGTATTATCATCTCGAAATGTGAAATATCTATCATCTTCTTCATTTAGTTCATCCGTTTCTAATATATATTGTATACTATTTCTATTATGTATGTATTCTTGCATTGTCAATTTCTCCAAAATGTTTGGGAAGTCACCACTTACCCAGTCAATACCAATGCATTCTGCGGGCCTGTAACTGAGCGCCTTGAAGTGCTGCGGACAGCCCGAATATGTTACAAAATATCTCTTAAATATACACACAGAGTGCAGCGTGTCACTACAGTTAGTCACCGCGCTTTGCAGTGTACCATCTTCGGCTACAGTTGCCGATAGACAATGTTTATCAGCTTGCAGTTCGGTTAAAGTTAATGGTAAATCGTAGACTGTGCCATAATGTCGACCAGGCAATTTAACAACGTATGGGTTGTATTTATTCTCGAATGCCTTCTTCATCGGCAACCAGAATGTTTTTACGTTTTTCTCGTTTAAATATTTAATCAAAGATTTTTGTTCTTCCGGTTCGAGTTCGTTGGCAATTGTTGGTATTGCACTTGCGCCATAGCAGAACCTCTCTTCAAATACGTCGGGTTGCTCAGATATTTTGAGACAAATAAATTTGTTTGTTGTAGGCGAAATTCTTAATTCTATTAGATCTTCTGGACAAAACCTATTTCTATTTGCTGATATCGTACATGTGACATTGACTGGATACCATTTCTGATCCAGGTGATTGCACCTCCGTACCATCAAACTTTTCTGTTCGCTATTCCAACAAATGCCTTTCTCTGCTGTGGCATATGTCATGTTTGGCTCGTGATGATGCCACACAAATTTTTCAACTACATCTTTGACGCAATCGTATTTCTATAATAGATAAACAACTAAATTTTTTGTTTAGCTTTATTTTGACGAATACTTTACCGCTGAAACTCGCTGTCTGTTTACACAAAATAATAACAAATTACTTAGTATGACTATTAAAAGTCTATAAATGTTTGCCATACCAATTGATTTTGCAAAAATATATTTTGCACTTTATGTTAACTTATTTATAAATTTTTTTAATTAACTTTCAAAAAATTACTTTCTTTCCAACCTCACCGTAGAACATTGAAAAATACTCTACGTTAACTTTTGAGATACGAGAAACATTATTGCAAATTTAAGATAAATTTGTTGTTTGTTTACTTGTGTAATTTTTATCTTCATTTTTGTATTCTTAAAGATTATTTAAATATTTAATGCCACACCATGGGCGTTTATCATTTTGTGCTATTTGGGTAGTAAAAAATACTGATGAGGTATGCATCGGAACTTTTTATGTCGAATGTCTAACAAAAATTATAAAATAAAAATTTCGTTTGGATCAGGCATCTGTTTTATCACATATAATCGATCACATATTGTGCAAAATAAAACAAAATAAATATTATAGAAAAGACTTTTTTAAAAAGCGTCATTCTAAATTTAAAATAATTTTAATTTTTTAGTTTGCGATTATCAAATATTAACTTCCCCTTTAAGATAGACTTTCTTAAAGATATAAGATGTTTAAGACATATGGACTATCTATATATAGATTTTAGGTTAGATATATAGATTTTGAACTATATGAAATTTATAAATCAGTCAATTTTCCATTTTTTGGTGCAGTTAACTGGCATACCGAATTTGGTTTCCTTTAATATTTTTATTGAATTAAGTTAAGCATGATTACGTCAGTATATTAAAAGAATTTATAATTGATATGATATGAATTCAATAATGCAATGCATATATGTACAAGACTCTAAATATTATAGTCTATTTATTTTAGTAAATGTTACTAAGGCTTTTTCCCTTCGTCTAAAAAATAAATATTCTGTAAAAAATATAATGTAATTGTTGGATTGATTTTAAAATAATATTCCACGATTTTTCGAATATAACACTTGATAAAGGAGAGTTCATAATAAACTATCGTATCCATCATGATTATACAATTTTTTTTTTTTGCTCTTTGAATCATCGATTCGTTGTTGTTTTTGCTCCGGTGTGAGCAAACGCGGCACCCATTTGGAAAACACCTTTTTCATACCCAAATGTTCGTGTATTATGGTGTGTACACTGCCTGCTGATATCTGTAGAATGGCAGCAATCTCCCTCACTTTCACTTTCACTTTATGGTCGGACATAATGATTTTCAGTGTTTTTTCAACGTTTTCCGGAATAACAGCGTCATTTGGCCGTCCAGTAGATGGAATGTCATCGGTGTCTTTACGACCACGTTTGAATTCGGCATACCAATAACAAATGCTTCTTTTTGATGGAGCAGAGTCCGAATAATGTTTTTTTAGCCATTCCTGGCATTGAACAGTATTTTTTTTCATTAAAAAACAATGATAAATCAGCACACGGAATTGCTTTGAATTCATTTTTTTTTGAAAACTCAAAAGTAGCGTCACTTAAAGCACTGTAACTTGTAAAGAAATGGTCGGATTAACATATGATTTTGACAGTAAGCCTAAAAAGGTTGCCACTTTCGAAAAAAAATATTTATTTAGTATTAGTGTCGCCATCTATGTGTCAGTCACACACATTATTGAACGAAGTGTTATAT